TCTGGTCAAGGCTATGGTTTTTCCAGTGGTCATGTATGGATGTGAGAGTTGGACTGTGAAGAAAGCTGAGCACCGAAGAATTGATGCTTTTGAACTGTGGTGTTGGAGATGACTCACGAGAGTCCCTTGAACTGCAAGGAGATCCAACCAGTCCATCCTGAAGGAGATCAGTCCTGGGTGTTCATCAGAAGGACTGATGCTGAAGCTGAAACTCCAGTACGTTGGCCACCTCAGGCAAAGAGTTGACTCGTTGGAAAAGACGCTGATGCTGGGAGGGATTGGGGGCAGGAGGAGAAGGGAACAACATAGGATGAGATGGCTGGATGGCACCACCGACTCAATGGGCATGAGTTTGAGTAAACTCCGGGAGTTGGTGATGGACAGGGAGGCCTGCTGTGCTGCGATTCATGGGGTCGTAAAAAGTCAGACACCACTGAGCGGCTGAACTGAACTGAACTGATAGAGGACTGAAAAGAGTGATCTGATTATACTAGAAGAGGTAAGGGAGGATGGGGAGTATGTATTAAGTTCTCTTTCCAGCAGAAAGTCATTAGCTGTGTCCAGAGTCAGCAACTCGGGGAAACAGCCACTGAAGGACTGTGTTCACAGATACCATGTTCTGTCAGCACCAGAAGGGTTGGGAGGCAGCAATCTCAGGAGCAGGTCAGGGCAGAGGGCTGCTGTCTTTTGTTAAACTACGTGGTTTTTTTTTTTAATTGAAAAACATATCAAAACAACTTTACCTAAAATTTTTCTTCTAATTGCAGCATTTACCCTCCAGTTCCAGGACAGGAGAGCTCTCTGAGGTGGGCAGGAAAGAAATTCGAGGAGATCCCAATCGCACACATTAAAGCCTCCTACAACAAGTAAGTGGGGCAGGGACTCCTGGGCAGGGCTGAGGCTTCTTTCCCCTGTAGGGGGGGCGGGCAAGTAACATGGGTCCTGGTGCACACCTCCCAGTATTCCTCCTCGTTTGGGGCAACCTCTTCTCTCTTTATCAAGTTGATTCAGAATAAATGGAAGTGTGAACTGGGTGCCCATATCATATTGTTAAAGATTCCTTTGCTATCCTTGGGAATTGTGTTTTCTGCTTCTGCTCCAGAACTAGAGTATATCTTAGGGCCAGAAAGTCTTCCCATGAAAGTGTAGTTGTTAAGTGTTGGTACTGGGGATGGATGATTAATAAATGAGGGAGATTATTTCAGAATATAGGATTTACTAACAAACTAAGCAAAAGGAAACCTCCAAATAAGGGTCGACTTAAAGTATTTGGCCTTGGTCCACTGTGGACCAGATCTCTGCCTTTGTGGGGCTGAGCGAGGTTAGAAGATTCGTGTTCTGTGTGGCTCTCAGATGGTGTCGGGGAAGTTCCCAACTGTGTGTTGGCAGCAGAAAGCTTGCTGACATCAGTGACATCCTCACACACCAGCCCCCACTTAGAGGTGAGGTTGGTATTTGGTCAGCCGTGGCCTGCGAAGCAATTTAGAGAACAGTACAACAGACGGTGGGTGGTCAGGGCTAGAGGGTGGGGTGCTGGCGAGGTGCCGTAGGACGCGTTTCAGCTGTCATCTTACAAGCCCAGAGTCAGAGCCCCTGGGTGTTCCTGTCTTTTCAGGCTGATAAGGGAATAGGTTAGCTCTCTTTGTTTCTTTGCCTTTTTATAGAGGCCTGCTCTGTAGAGCTCTGTTGAGGTTGTCTCGGGGACAAGCAATTCTCTTGTGCTTCTGTTTGGTGTAAAAGACCCAAGAAGCCGTGGGACGGAAACGGCAGCCATAGCCAGGCCCACAACAGATGGCCCCAGCCCAGGCTGACTCCAGCAGGTCACCTTGTAACCACCCTCCACTTCCCCTGCTTGTGAGTTCTCGGGGGCTCTTCAGCCCATGAGACCGGGGGGTGATTAAGGGGGGCGTGGAAAGCAAGTCTAGGGATTTATGGGAGTTATTCTTAGTTTTAATTTAACTTGTTGAAGACTACTTATCTTTTAGAGATATATACTGAAATACAGATGAAATGATGGGTCTAAGATTTGCCTCAAAATAATCCCTTAGTAGGGAGTACAGGGGTGTAGAAGAAACAAGGTTTATAGATGAAACCAGATTGGATATGAGTTATTAATTGTTGAAGCTGAATGGTGAGCCCAGGGGAGTTCAGACTTCATTGTATCCGCTTTTGAGTATATTTGAAACTTTACCAAGAAAAGTCATTAAAAATTACCCAATGTGAAAAATTCAATTTCTTGGTGGGGGTGGGGGGCTGGGAAAGGCCAGAAAGGACTTTGAATCTACTTTAAACTTTGTCTGCAGGGAAGATGCGAGGGGGAAAATACGCCACCCCTCTGGATGACACTCAGCGCCCTCACATTGTGGTGCTGGTGTCGGTCAGCTCAGGTTGCTACAACAAAATACCAGACTGGGTGGCTGAAACAGCAGGCGTTATTTCTCACAGTCTGGAGGCCGCAGGTCAGAGATCAGCGTGACAGCAGGGTCGGGTCCTAGAGAGAACTTTTCTAGGCTGCAGATGGCCAGCAGCTTCTTGTGTCCTCACATGGTGGAGGAGACCGCCGAGCCCTCTGGGGTCCCTCTGAGGGGCCACTGATACTCACAAGGGCTCCACCCTCATGACCGCATCGCCTCCCAAAGGCCCCACCTCCCAGAACCATTACGTTAGGGGTTCGAATTTTAGCATGAATCTAGTTGGGGGAACACAGACTTTCCATGCATAATAGCTCCTTGTAGAGTTTGCAACGTGTCAGTTTTCAGAGGCTTAGGGGTTGATTCTGACCTTTCCTGACTCCTCCTATAGGAGTTCAAAAAACTCATCTGATAAGCTCAGGGTGGAAGCAGCTAATGGTCTTTTCCTTGCTCACTGGGGCTTGTCTGGGCATAGGTTGGTGCTCTCTCACTCCCCTGAACAGACATCATATTCTATACACCTCCCCTCCTTCCCCAGCACACAGATCCAGGTGGTCTCGGCTGCTCACCAGCCCCTTGCCCGCGCCTCTTGTGGCACGGAGGGCTTTCGGAATGCCAAGAAGGGCACGGGCATCGCAGCACAGACAGCGGGCATCGCTGCCGCAGCGGTAAGTATCTATGGGTGTGTGTGTGCTTTCTGGCTCCCTCTGTGCTGGGCTCCACTTTCTGCACAGCTGACCACTAGAGGATTGTCCTTGCAGTAGCCCTTCAGAAGTGAGTTTGCCGACTCTTGCTGGGTCCCCTAACATGAGGGTAGTTAGAAGGAGCAGGGGCCAGGTGCTGAAGTCTCACAAGGCCTCCTGGATTTAAAGACCAGAGGGCTGGGTGGGGTGGCGTTGTGGTGAAAGTCCATCTGGAGAAGGTGTGGTGTCGTGAGGATGCAACTGCAGTACCAGATTGAGCGTGAACTGCTGCAGATCTTTCTGGAAGCAAATTGGCAGTGTGCTGCTGTTAGTGTATATTTATGGAGTATCTACTATACCAGCTTCCCCTGTGGCTCAGTAGTAAAGAATCCACCTGCAAATGCAGGAGACCCAGGAGATACGAGTTCAGTCCCTCGGTGGGGAAGATCCCCTGGAGAAGGGCATGGCTACCCACTCCAGTATTCTTGCCTGGGAAATCCCATGGACAGAGGAGCCTGGCGGGCTGCCGTCTGTGGGGTCACAGAGTCGGACACAGCAGAGCAGGTCTACTACACACCAGATGCTTTATGTTCATTATCTTGAATCCTTGAAGGCCCGCAGTATTACCCCCGTTTTTAAGAGTTGGGATTCAGAGTGTGTCACTTGCTCAGCGCTGTGCAGCCAGTCAGGTTCCCTGAACTGACCCCCCAGGTCTGGGCCCAGAGCTTGCACACTATGTCTGCTACGACACAGGCCCCACAAAGGTTCACGCTGCCAAACCCAGAGTGTCTCCTGAAGGAAGACCCTGACCCTCAAACAAAGCTCCGTGCCCCGAAACACTGATGGCACTATGTTAGTGATCATTAAAATGTGACCAATGGCCACTACATAGACAGGTTATATACACTTAAAAAATAATGTCCGTGTAAATGGTGGCTTCCGCGAGGTGGGTTGAGTGAGTTCTGTGTGTCTTCCAGACTTTCTGTAATAAACCACCTTTATAATCAAGAAAGAAAGCTTTCGACTGTAATGAAAGATTTTAAATGATTAAAGAACACTCTTTAAGAGGGTATTGAGGCTCAGGCAGGAGTCCTGGGATTGTTGTGGTCTGAGATTCTGCATTTATCCGCCTGAGAACAATCTGAGTGATGTTTCGCAGTGTCCAGTAGGTGGCAGTGCTGTCCCGGGCGGAAAGGGCCCCCAGCTGACTGCGCCGTCTGTGCTGCCCCGCAGCCCTCCGCCCTCCGCTTCCTTCCCTGTCCTCTCCTGTTTGCATGTGTGGGTGCCTGTCCCCTCGAGCTCATAACCCTGTCACTCCAGAGGGCAGTAGCAAGGGGCAGGGTTGTTGCGGTTCGTTTTCGGGAGCACTAACCACTTGCTGCTCCTTGCCAGAAAGCTACAGGAAAAGGCGTGACCCACGTCCGAGTTGTGGTCAAAGGCCTGGGGCCCGGGCGCTTGGTAAGTGACCTCGCTTCTTCACAGCCCAGCCTTGCGCTTCGTCCTTCAGTTAGTGAGAGAGCTGGGGTGGGGGCAGAGGAGGGAGACCAGCCTTCCCTGACAGCTTGAAGTTTGTTTCCGTTGCTTCTGATCCACTGAGCCCCTGCAGGTGAGCCCTGATCACTTAGCTTCATTTCCTCAGACACTTACTGAGGTCCCTGGGGGCCTGTCACAGGTGAGTCCCTCGGGACAGGCTCGTGGGTGCGGCGGTGAAGCTTGTGCCCCGGGTGCTGGGAGCCCCTTGGGTGTGATCACCAAAGTGTCCCCAAAGAGGTGACATTTCTACTGATTTCTCAAGAATGACAAGGGACTAGCCAGGTGTGTTTATGAGTTTGAGGGTGAGGGACACATTCCAAGCAGAGGAAACTACAAAAGCATAATGCTTAAGATGTGTTGAGGTTTACACTTGTCTTTGCCTTTAGATTGTAAAGGGCAGGGTGGGGCGTGGCAGGTGGGACTGGGGATGTGAGCAGCACTGAGGGCCTGGGGCAGGGGTTAGTAGGAAGCCTCTTGGGGGGGGGATTGGATTGTAGGCATCAGAGCCAGCGCCTCCCGACCCCCCATCCCTCTCCGAGCCCTGTCTGGACACACCGGGGCATCATCTCTGGTCCATGCCATCCTCCTGTTCCTCCTGCTCCTTCCAGTCTGCCATCAAGGGCCTGACCATGGGGGGCCTGGAAGTGATCTCAATCACAGACAACACCCCCATCCCACACAACGGCTGCCGCCCCAGGAAGGCACGGAGGCTGTGAGGGCCAGGAATCCTGCACCCACACCCGACGTCAAGTCCTGCCTCCAGCTGGGCCTGCCCAAACTCTGCAGGCCGGGCTTGTTGAGAGCCGTGGACAGTAAGCAGGAGCCTCGCCTCCTCACTTGGCGGCCTTTGCTCCTCTGAGTGGAGAGCAGTGTGGCCGGAACTGAGGCCCTGCCTCTCTTAGACACGAGGGGAGTTAAAGGGCAGCTTGACCCAGATTCCCGGCAGTAAATGCTGCTTCTCTTCTGAAAAAATAAAATTATTTCCACCATCTGTAGTAATTTGTGAGTTTTTGGTTTGTTTTTTTTTTTTTTTTTTTTTTTTTTTTTTNTATAAAACAGGAATTAGTGTGGGTGGTGGGATGGGTGAGCGCAGAGCCCAAACAAGTGCAGGAAAGGGAGTCCCCCCTGCCCTAGCTGAGCTCAGCTGGCCCCCGCCCAGGCAGCACTGACTGCTCAGCCTGGGCTCTGGGGTCACTGGATGCCACACAGAAGCCACAGGTGGGGGTTCCAGGAGCCCAGCCGTTGAGACCCCTCCCTTTTCCTCAGACAAAGAGGACCAAGGATGAAAGCATCACAGGAGATGAAAAGGTGCACGACCCTCAGAGGCAAGTCTGCAGGAAGGGCCTGCTGACTGCTGACAGGCTCCACGCGGGCCCAGCCAGCCAAGTGCTGCGATTTGCCTGAGCTCGGTGTAAGTCCACAAACATGCTCTCAAATAGGAAAGCTGCTGTGCTGTACAGGCTAGAGAAGGGAGAAAGACCTTGATCTAGATGTGAATTTAGGAGGAACATGTCTCCCTGCTGCCTTCTCTTCCATCCTGAGCGGGACCTATTAAGGATGACTTGTGACCAATGACTAAAGGGACCCAACTGAAGGCTTCTGGTGTTACAGCCACTGCCAGAACGGAGCTAACACCTTTTCACCATAAAACTGCGTGTAAACATGATGCTTAAAAAACACAGGGCTCATGAGGGCCTGGAGCAGTTAATCAGAGCAAGAAGCAGATGGTTCAAAAGAGGGTCTTCCTGGTGACTCAGATTGACCTGGGTTCAGACCCTGGGTCAGGAAGATATCCTGGAGAAGAAAATGACAATCCGCTGCAGTATTCTTGCCTGGAGAATTCCATGAACAGAGGAGCTGGTGGGCTGCAGTCTGTGGGTTCACAGAGAGTCAGACACAACTGAGCAACTAACAATTTCACTTTACAGAAGTGCGGGCAGGGTCAGGGGATAAGCAGGTTGGAGCCCTTGAGGACCAGCAGGGGCAGAAGAAGGACTTGTCCCCAGAGCCTGGCCAAAGCTCCAGTCACAGGAACGCAGCCTCTGCCAAAACTTCGGCCCCATAGACGCAGAGTGAAGAAACACCCTGACTGCTCCAGCCTCTGACCACTCAACATCCCCAAGGGCTGAATCCAACAAGAACCAGAACACAGGGGAGCTTCTGGTCCATCCTTGGAGGGCATGCCTCCCAGGGAGGGGTATGGAACAGATCCAGAGGGGCATGTGGAGAAGAGGAAGCACAGGTGGTCTCCATCATTCCAGAAGTGAGATCCTCCTTAGCACTGTAGTTTTAGGAAGTGTTATTCCCAAGAGGGCTTTGAAAAGGACGATACTAAGAGTGCCTACAAGTAGCATGCTGGGGACCTTAACGGATCACTGGTCTCAGACCAGAAACAGAGGAGGCCTAGGAGCCAGCTTGGGTGGCGCTGTTGTCAGGGTGCCCTGGAAGACAACACAGCTTTACTGCTGGGGGCCCCAGGGCCCTGCTGGGTCCAGGCTTTTAAGAAGCCAGCGAATCTGTGCTCTCTTAGGCTGTGCATGTGTTCAGTCATGTCCGATTCTGTGCGACCCTGTGGACTGTAGCCTGCCAGGCTCCTCTGTCCTTGGGGATTCTCCAGGCAAGAATAGTGGAGTGGGTTCCCATGCCCTCCTCTAGGGGATCTTCCTGACCCCAGGGTCAAACCCAGATCTCTTTTTTTTTCCATCTATTTTTATTAGTTGGAGGCTAATTACTTTACAATATTGTAGTAAACCCAGATCTCTTACGTCCCCTACATTGGTAAGTGGGTTCTTTACCACTAGCACCATCTGGGAAGCCCCTCTTAAGACTGTATCACCTCTTAATCATTGGGTCTTGGCCTCAGAGAGTGGCTCCTCCTGAAGGGGCACTAAGGCATCTTCACTGACCACTTAAGGATTTATCGTTCGCCCAAAATGCCAGGCTGCCTTGTTCCCGCTGGCACAGCCCTTCTCCAAAGCCGGCCTGCCAGACCTGAGACACAGGTGGCCATGTGCTTGCACATCCCCTGGGAAAAGAAGACAGAGCCAGGCCCTGGGTCCTGAGTGTTTGCACAAGCAGAGTGTTGGCATCAGCACATGTGACACACTTCCTTGTTTCCTGGCAGCAGGGCCTCCGGTTACTGCTATGAGTGCGTCTGCAGCTCAAAGCCGGTGGCCTGGGCCTGGCTACATGAGGAAAGCCTCTGCATGAGGGGAGAGGGCTCCCCTCGCTTCTCCTCTCCTCTGCAGGCAAAAAGGCAAATGTAATTTCTTTCAGGCAAATGTAATTTCTTTCAACATAGATGCAGTGTTTTCCCTTCTTTCAGTCAGGGTCAATCACTGACAGTTAGCTGTAACGTCACCATCAAAATAAGCTTGTTTAACACTCAAGTATCAAACCAGTCAATCCTCGAGGAAATCAGTCGTGAATATTCACTGGAAGGACTGATGCTGAAGCTGAAGCTCCAATACTTTGGCCACCTGATGGGAAGAGCCAACTCATTGGAAAAGACCCTGATGCTGGGAAAAATTGAGGGCAGGAGGAGAAGGGGGCAACAGAGGATGAGATGGCTGGATGGCATCACCGACTGGATAGACATGAGTTTGAGCAATTCCAGGAAATGGTGAAGGTCAGGGAAGCCTGGTGTGCTGCAGCCCATGGGGCCGCAAAGAGTCAGACACAACTGAGTGACTGAATAAAACAATAAAACTCAGGTACCTAGATGCTGGCAGAATATAACCGGGCACTTTAGGAGCAACCATTTTCCAGTCACCCCTGCCTACAAGCTGACTCTGACATGTCTGTTTTTAAAAAGTGCATATATGCCTTCCCCCTGGCCTCCTTTGCTCTTTCTTTTTCCTACTCTGGATACGCCCATTACTTTTTTGTTTTTGTTTTTTAACATGATTTCTTCACAATGTTGTATTCATTCCTGCTGCACAGCATCATGAATCAGCCCCATGTGTACATACAGCCCCTCCTTCTAGAGCCCCACCTCCAACCTGCCCTCCTAGGTCATCACAGAGCAGGGAGTTTAGCCCACTGTGTTAAACAGCAGCTTTCCGCTAGCTCTCTGTTTTACACGTGGTAGTGTGTATATGTCAGGGCCCCTCTGTGCATGGAACTCACAGTTCGCATTGAGGTATTTCCATCAGTGGAGCAGTATCGTCCCAGCTCACGGCTGTACCCTGGGGCCACAGGGCCTGCGCAGCACCTCCAGCACTTGCCTTCACTTTCAGTGTGGCCAGCAGGACCGTGTGCAAGGAGCTGAGAGTTCAGTTTCATTCAATTCAAATTAATTGGAAGGTATTGGGTTGGCCAAAAAGTTCATTTGGGGTTTTCTACGTGACATGCCATAGAAAGAGCAGAACACACTTTTTGCCAACCCAGTAAATACCTGAGGCCATTGGCTACCGTAGCGGACAGTGCCCCTGAGATGGCCTTTCATGTGGGCGCGTGTAGGCAGAGACACATGCTCACTGACGCACTGTGATGCACTGTGATGTGATGGAGATTGGAACCTAAATGCCCATCAACAGAGGGCTAAAGAAATTACAGTCTGTCCATATAACAGCATGTTAGCCCTGAAACAAGCCAAGATGTATTTGCTAAGTGAAAAAACAGATGTTGTGGGTGGGACGGGCAGGAGAGTATGTGGAGGACAGTCATGCATTGTTGTAGAAAAGGGCAGGATTTGTATACATAAATGTGTATGCATTGAGTTATCTGGAAAGACATACTCCAAATAATAACATTCTCTCCAGGGAGAGAAATGGTGTGACTGAGAAACAGGAAGACTTTTTACCTTTTCCACCTTCAGAAGAAGGTGCCGTGTACAGCTGACCTTGAACAACACCAGGCCTAGGGGCACCCACCTTCCATGCACTTGCAGATCCACACAGAACATCACAATGACCCTCTGGATCCACTGTTCCATATCCACAGATTCAACCTTGGACATCGTAGTACTAAACAGATTTAGTGAAAAAAAAAAAAAATCCACGTTTAAGGACCCTCGAAGATTGAACCTGTGTTGTTCAAGGGTCAGCCGTCCATGTTGCTGCTTATTCAGATTAAATAATTCACTGATTAAAACAGAAATAAAGAACTGATTTATAAGAAACATGGAGAGATTGCAGAGTCAAGCGCTATGTCAATTACCTGAAGTGTGCAGATCACATTTTTTAATAGACACTTTGACACACTCAGACCCGTAACACCCCCAACCCTGTGGCTGGCCTGGTATTTGCGGGAGGTCTTCTGACCTGGCTGTGCAATTTGTTCTGGTAATCAATCTGGCTTCTCCCCTCTGCCTGCCCGAATTCAAATTAAATTGTGCACACGCCCTGCAATTCAGCCTAACAAGTCTGGCCAGAAAAGTCAGAAAAGCAGTGTCATTACTGCTTGGCTGGAAGGTGGGGGCAGATAGAGCTCAGCACCCACGTTTCCATAGCGCCCTGAGGCAGCTTAACCACCTCGCATTTGCATAATCCCCTTGGACCCAAAGCAAATGTCAGCTGAGGAGCAGTGTAGTGTCACAGGGGGCCCTGGCTGGCAGGACACTTGTCTCAGCCCAGCTGGAATACCAACTCCGCAGGCTGTCAGCCACATCCCCTCCCCCAGATGGACCTCAGTTTCCCCCTGGGACCAAGAGGCAGTTGATGGACGGGATATGGCACCCGGGAGCCCAGGACTCCTCCGTGGCGGGGAGGACAGCCTGGGATCCAATGCACTAGCCCACACTGGGTAGAGGGAAGCCTCAGGGCTGCGACACAGACCTACTGGCTGCCCCGGAAACGCCCTTGGCTCTTCTTGCCATGGGTTTCTCCCCAGGGCTCCCGGCTGCCCCGTCCTGTCAGCCTGCTTGCAGTGGAGAGGGCTGGGGCTTTGGAGACAACCAGCCCTGGCTGGAACCCTGGCTCAGTATCAGTCTGACCCTCAGTTATCCCACCTGCATGGGGCAGTTATGTGCGTCCGCCCAGACAGCTGT